ACTTGGCCTTATTTTCGGGGAGGTCTTATTATTTTTGAGGCACAGGCGGCAGCAAGCATGGCTGCTGCAATGTTATAATATTTTCAGGGAGTGCTTATTTTGGGGGGAGGGCTTATTTTAGCTCATGCGCTCAAAGGACCATTTGGGCTTTTTATCAAAGGAGCTCTTATTTTCAGGAAAACAGGGTATATCCATGTGAGTTATCTTTTGAGAGTTTCAAAACTTCATAGCGTGAATTAGAATTGCCAGGTTCTTATTTGATTATATAAAGTCTACTGGTAGTAAAATAATTTAGAAATCATAGTCACAACTAGTATAATTAGCTGGTCAATGTTTTCCTCATTGTAAATACTTACTTTGGCACAGAGAAGAATGTCAAGAAAATCCAAGTGCCTCTTTGCCTGGATCTTTTGAAGTTCTTCCTCAGCCTTCAAAGATTCCTTTCTTTCCTTGATTACTTTCTCTGCATTGGAAACATTTGATGTTAACAGCTCACCAATTCCAATTTTTAAGCTTGTTCGTGGTAATTCTTTAAACAGAAAGAAAATGCCAAACTGTACGTTATGTTAACCTTTTTAATTAGCTATTTTTCTTGTAATAGCACACCAATTGAGTGGTTTCCTTAGCCTTCCCTGAAGTGCATTGCAAAATTTGAAAAAATGCACACACTGAAACAGTAACATACTAAGGAAATATAAATTACAAAGAAGCACTTAAAATGATGGGTTGCACTCTGCATGATTTCTTCTTAAATGGTTGTTTAAGATTTCCTTGGTTTTTTTGTTCATTTTGTTTTCTTTTTACTTTCCTTTGGTTCCAGAACACCCAAAGCCAAAACATTGGGAAAAAATACCTGTATGAAGGTGAGCAACTTGGCAGGCTTTCCGAAACCGAAATCCATGAGAACTGAACCAATATAAAAGATCACTGAGACCTACAATATGGTGCATCCTGGCATATATCAAGAAGCAAAGCTCAAAGACAGCTTGAACATAAGAGTTTTCCCTAAAGGACAGCAGGAAAATCAAAGGATAAATTCAGGATTTTAAATATGAATACTGTCACTACTTTATAGTCTTCAAACAATACTACAGGTAGTCCTTGACTTATGACCACAAGAGAGCCTAAAATTTATATTGCTAAGTGAGACATTTTAAAATGAATTTTGCCCCATTTTATGACATTTCTTGCCATAGTTGTTAAGTGAATCACTGCAGGTATTAAGTTAGTAAGAAGTTCGTTAAGTGAATCTGGCTTCCCCATTGACTTTGCTTTGAAAGTCACAAAAGGTGATCCCAGCACCCCAGGACACTGCAACCGTCATAAACCAATTGCCAATTCCCAAATTCTGAATTTTGATCACACGACAGTGGGGAAGCTGCAATGGTCGTAAATGTGAAAAACAGTCATCAGTGACTTTTTTCAGTGCCGCTGTAATGTCAAACATGCAGGTTGTTTCAATACATGCAGGTTGTTTCAATAAATGCAGGCTTCAATGAACTGTTGTAAGCTGAAGCCTGCATGTATTGAAAGAACTCAGTGAAGTTTACTTCTGATTTTACATAAAATTACATCATAAAGCATTAAATTTATTTTATGTTATTAAAGCTTTCATTCAGCTTTCTGGACAATAGTCAGTGGTAAATATTTAACAACCAATTCTATTGCTACCATCTTAACCCTAACCCAACATTCTGCTAAACGCTGTGCTGCTCTACTCATAACCACATCACAAAATTCCAGAAATGTAACAATCAGTTCTCATGAGCCAATGCAAGCAGGATGCAGCACACCACTGATAATAAGTATTATAGACAACACAAGGTACAGTGGTGGGATTCAATTTTTTTTATTACCGGTTCTGAGGGTGTGGCTTGGTGGGCGTGGCATAGCTTGGTGGATGTGGCTTGGTGGGCATGGCAGGGGAAGGATACTGTAAAATCTCCATTTCCTCCCTACTCCAGGGGAAGGTTACTGCAAAATCCCATTTTCTCCTAATCAACTGGGACTCAGGCGGCAGACAATAAATGGGGGCAGGGCCAGTCAGAGGTGGTATTTACCGGTTCTCCGAACTACTCAAAATTTCTGCTACCAGTTCTCCAGAACCGGTCAGAACCTGCTGGACACCACCTCTGACAAGGTACATCTAATAATACTTCAGGAATGTTATTTAAAAGCAATTCTGACTATTCATTAACTAATACAGTATAAATTCCCCGGGCATTTTATTGCCACCAACCCACCTAAATCAGGGGGTGATTACTCTGCACCACAGGCTGCAAATAAATGTCAACTCCTGGTTTGAAGTCCATGGCCAAAATCTGACAGAAAATCACTGAGCCCTGAAAGCATAATTTTCTATTGATTTCTGAAAATGGGGGTGGAATAGAAAAGACACAAGGAGTTGTTAAGTTTCTTAGTGTGCTTACTGTATCATAACTATCATGTCATCCTTTAAAAAAACCCCACTGCAATAGACAAGTGTTGGAAAAGTAGCTTTGACCACTAGCATGACATTATTATTTTGCCCCCTTTCAGCCCCATCAACCAAAAAGTATAGGGAATCAGTCCCTGGTTGCAAAACATTTGATTATGTGTACATGTGTCTTTGTCAGTGTGGACTCCAGGCGACTGCCTGGACAAGACTTTCTAGGAAATATTTTTTTGAGATGGTTTACCATTGCCTACTTCCTAGGGTTAAGAGCAGTGGTGGGTTGCAGGCAGTATGTCCCGATACAGGCATACTGGACCCTGCCCAGAGCACCGGATACCGTTCCGGTACGGTGCTCCAGAGGCCCACACACCCGCCCGAGCTCCTTACTGGTCTTTTAAGTCTTTGGTGCTTACGCACGCACACACGGCACATACAGCGCCTGGGTGACACTCAGCTGAGCAGCTGGAGCATCACAGAGGCTCGTGGAAGCAATAAGACACATGCACGTGCTGCGTGCGTCCATGTGGATGCCGCCGGGCCCGTTCCAACCGTACCAGTTGGAACAGGATTCAGAACCCACCACTGGTTAAGAGGTAATGAGTGGCCCAAGGTCATCCAAGCTGAATTTGTTCTGAAGGCACTAGACTAGAACTCAATCTCCTGGTTTGAAACCTGATGCCTTAACCACTATACCAAACTAACTCTCTAAACCTTGATTACTCAATGCATTGAAACAATGTATAATGTATACAAACAATGAGACAAAAATGGTTCTTTTCGGGGACTTAAATGCATTTTTTATTTGATTCCAAAAGAAGAGCAACTGATGCATATTAAATAAAGAGGACAGTCATGAAATGTGTAAGTTGTGATTCTGTATATGTGGGAGGGTAAGTAGTTACAGAATACAAGGATGCTATGTTTTGTAACAGATACTTGGATCCCATTAAGTCATTATTGAATATGCTACTAACCAAAGAAAGGAGATTTTAAGGAGTTAAAAGAAAAGCAATACCAACTTGTACATTTGACAGTTGCTGTTATAACCAAAGGCACATTTCATGAGGCTATCAAGTGTCATCAAGCTCACATGTTCAAAGAGTTCCACTGATTTCTCCTCCACGATCAGTTTTTCCCATTTATCCTAAATCAACAGAAGGAAAATGAAATATTGCTGTTATGTTAGGTTGAACCCCTTAAAACAGGGGTGTCAAACTGGTGGCCCACAGATGCATCATGCACAGGCACGCCCACTCCCGGCTCTGCAAAGGCAAAAAACATTGCAACATGTCACATGATGTCACATGACGTGATTGAGTTTGACACCCTTGCCTTAAAACAAGCAAAACTAAATTATTGTATAATATATTCTATAAATCTTTCTACTCTAATGAATCGGAGAATGACCTCTCTATTTTCACAAGTAATTATTTTTCTGGAACATTGATTACTTTTCTTTTCTGATTATCTAATGCAATGTTTCTCAATCTTGGCAACTTTGAGGTGGGAGATTTCAACCCCCAGAATTCTGTAGCCAAACACACACACACACACATATGCACACACCATTTCAGCTGCCAGTAAACCATCCACAGAAAAACTTTTAATAAATCAATTATTAATACCTACCAACATCACTTTTGTAGAGTCTGCAATCAGGGGAACATATGGCTTTAGTACACTAAAGTGGAAACCTGGAGTTAGCAATTTTCGATGTTGTGCCCATTTGGGTCCATGCAGAACTAATAAACCTTTTCCTAAAGGAAACAGACACTTCCAATCAAATAAGAAAACGGGTGGAGGAAGGCATATTATATACGTCTGGCACCTTACGCTACTTATAATAAAGGCAGGATGAAAAAGAAATCTAATAAAAAATAAACAGTTCTGTACAAAATCTTGTTACATCTAGGTAATCTCCTATAGTTTACAGAAACAATGAAACTTCATTTCCATAAAAGTTTCCATAACTATTTCATTAATTTTGTACCAGGTAAGTGGTGCTTTATGCTCCTGATGTACATACAAAGAAATAAAAGTAAACAGATTTCAAACGTCATTACAATTGAGTCTATAGTAAGAAAATTTACTATAATCATAAACCAAGATACATTATGTAATGTGGGGATTAAAAGTTCTTATTGTATCCCTTTCTGTGACTCATGTTTACATTTCTACTTTATTTCGTAGCTGATTGGTTAACCTGAGCATTCTTGATAAGCATTTTCTTCAGATTTATTTTTTGCTTTAGAAATGTTTTCTCCTTTGCCTGTTTCTTCATGGGACATTTTCAAACAAGTGTTGGGTAGATATTTGTCAGGTATGATTTAATGGATTCCAGCAATGAGCAGAGAGTTGGATTAGATGGCCTATTTGTCTCCTAATGTATACATTATATGATCGTTATATCTGCTTGTCTACTTTCATTGCATTGCATCAGAAATATTGTACAGCATAGTAATTAAAACTTGAAATGCAGAATTGTGCCCTAATGGCTCATCCAAACAACCATGTAGATATAGCTTTCCTCCATGTTGTCTTTGCAGACTGACTCATCAAGAGAGACTGAGGATCATGAAAGGCAAAGTTCTTTTGGAAAGAAATTATTTTGCAAAAACCAGTACTTAAAATGTCATTTGAGATTCTCAGTCATCCAGGTCATAGTTGTCCCAAAGGTGCTGTTTCCAAAACGCAACTGGAGTTTCTTTGGTTTTTTTTCTTTGAAAACATTTTACTTCTCATCCAAGAAGCTTCTTCAGCTTCAGCTTCTTCTGTCTTTTGGAAAAAGCAGCTTTGGGTAGTACTTAAAATCATTATCATCAGTTTCATGGAGACCCATTGGTGAGCATTAAATATACTGATTAGTAAGAAGAAGAGTAGGCAGGTAATACAGGGATTAAGAATCAAACCATTGGATGTTCCTCCCATGATCAATGTCTCTTTATACTAAGAGACCCCAAATCCCGGGACCAGATGCCAGGGGGTGGCACAGCAGTGTTGGCAAGACACTGACCTCTGAAGATTTCTCCTCCTTCAACATCTACATGAGACACTTTATATACTTTCTCAAAGAAAACAGTACTTTAATCATTTTTAATTCCAGGATTTCAGTAGTCAGTAGACGAATGCATTATGCACAAGTTAGCAGGATAAATAAATCTGAAGGCTCACTCAGCCAATCTGTGGCACCTGCAAGGATGTATGTGTCTGAACTGGTACAATGGGCAGAGTGGAATATTGCAGTGCAAACATTGCCCTTTCTGAATATGTATGCAATTCTCTGTCCAACAACCTGATGATTTTTAACTTCCTTTAGATGGCACTGCAAGTCATTGCCCAGAAAAACCAATTGAAAAAAAACCTACCAACCCAAAGGGGTCTTTTTTTTACTCACAAATGAAAGTCTTGCTAAAATCAAGGCTTCTATGAGAATCTCAATTTCTAATGTAAATTGTTTATTTATTTACTTACACCTCTACTTCCAATAACTCTCTAGACATCTCATGACCCTATTCAACTCCTTTGTAAATCATGAAGAAGTGATAGGGAATAATACAATAGTAATACTGAAATACGTACGTATACAACATATTTGGAATTTTATTATTGGAGAATACTTAATAGTTGCATATATATTTTTCAGAAATCATTATATTAAATAGCATATAGACTCAATTCTCTATCATAACATATTTTGTCTGTTTGATTATTATATATAATCAAACACATTTCCAAAGAAGTGGAAGCAAGCAGACATTAAAATAAACAAACAAAATAAAGGTAAATATTGTCTTCCTTTAGTGATAAAATATCTATGACAAAAGTTTGACAATGTAGAGCTCCTAAGGGGGAGTCTTTAGAATAAAATTATAAACAATTTTATCTGTGCTAACTCATCAATTGTTCTTCATCATGGAGAACTGGAATATACATACCGATCCATGGGACTATGTTCCGATAACTAAAATTATCTTTTGGTTCTAAAAGAAGAGGAAAAAAAGAAGTAAATTATAATTAATTAATTACCCTAGGCTGTGATTAGAGAAAAATACATAAATCACTGTGAAAAAAACATCTACTAACTTAAGGAAATAATAACTAGGTAATTTGTGGTTATGTTTATGGATAAACTCATAAATAATATTATAAATTAAAATATGGGGATAATATATAGTTATCCTTACTTTGCATTTTTAATGCTAACACATAACAGAATGACTCTCCTTCTTCCCCCAATAATTTTCAGGGTGTTCCTCAGATTAAGATAACTGTTTCTCAGAACATACTCCATTACTTTCTAGACAATATGAAATAATGCTTATGTTCTCTTGTGGTGTAAAAAAAATACAACTGAAACAACTACTGCACAAACTACCCCTCTATTTGAGAAGAACTCAGACTTTGTTTTCTGCCACATAAATTATTTTCCCTTCTTTACTCAGCTATATTCCAGCTGATAAAACTTTGGGAATTTATTACTTAAATTACATGGGCAACAGGAACCCATATTCCCAAATTATTGAATAACTTCAACAGCACAGTATCAGCAGTAGAATTCTTCAAGTTCTATAATTTCCCAAGATTTGAAATGGACACTTAATGTTAGAACTATCATCAAAAAGGAACAACAAAGAATGTTTTTCCTGTGTCAACTTAGAAAGTTCAGACTGCCCCAAGAGCTCTTCATATAGTTTTACAGAGGAATTATTGAGTCTGCCATCTGTATTTTGATAACTCTCTGGTTTGGTAAAGCAACTAAACAAGACAGGCAGACTCCAGTGGATAATAAGGACTGAAGAAAAAAAATTGCAACCATCCTGCCTTCCACAGAAGGAGATCTGAGAAATTAACTGCAGACCTCTCACATCCTAGAAATTAACTGTTTCAAATTCTCCCTTCAGGCATTACATGCCAAAACAACTAGACACAGGGACCGTTTTTCCCTTGGGCCATCATTGTGCTGAACATCTACTCCCCATAGTATTGTCTTATGTCTAAGTATGTTCATGTTATATGGCTGTATTATTATTATTATACAATTGTATCACAGCAGCCAGTTGTTTCGCCGGATTTGGCATTGGTTACTAGTTGGGCCCCACCCAGGAGCCTAGGACGTTGTAACGTATTTTTGTAATATGTGTGCAGATCCAAGCAGTGCGGCTTTTTGCATTTGACTGATGGTGATTTTGTCAATTTTTAACTGTTTTAAATGTAATTCCAGTGCTTTTGGAATAGCACCCAGTGTGCCAATTATCACTGGAATTATCACTGCTGGTTTTCTAGCTGTTGCTGTTATCTACTGTTTTACAATCTCTACAGCTTCATTGATGTTTCTTGTATCCAATCTATATGTTCTG